TGGACGAGGCTCCTCTGCGCACGAAAGATTACGGGACATCTTACTGCGAGGGCGTAAGCTCAATTCCTCGACCTCATCGACGGAATCGGATTCAGGAACTTCCACGCTCTTCTCTTCATTGCGTAATCCTTCATCAAGGCGTACACCACCATTGAATGGAAGGAACATCGTTCCTCCATCAAGGAAAGCACTTTCGTCGAAGACGGAACTTTCGGCAGATAACCAGTATATATAGAGAGAGATGTTGCCAGTCCTTCGATGGCATTGGCATAGATGTAACCATATTGTTCGGTTGTTTCTCATCTTCTCCATGAAGCCTCTTGCTCAGGTTTATCCACCGGGAAAGCTAACCGGGGGATGCAGTCCTCCACGCCATGAGTACGTGGTGAAAGTGTCCGCTAAGCTGAGGTTGGTCCTAAATGTACGAGGGGACCAGCCGGCCGCGCGCGAGGCGGGTGGGACGCCGTCTTTTCCAATAAGAGCCAACACGCACAGCTTCGGAAGTACGAACGCGCCGGCTAAATGGGCCGGGGGAGTCGCCTCAAACGACTGAAAGTCATGGAAGCCTCTTGGGCCGTCTTACATGCTAAAGATGTACGTCTTGCCAATGTGAATGTAATGATTTGGGCCTCTTGGCCCCTCTTGGGAATGCTCTGGGAGTCCTCCTGGGCAGTATTGGGCAGCTCGGGACCTTCTGGCGACGTCTTGGGGGCCTCTTGGAACCGTCTTGGCTCTTTTTGGCACCCTCTTGGCCTCTCTGGGCCGCCTCTGGGGAGCGAAACGGGGGGCGGTCAGCGGATTTCCGCCGATGGTTGCGGGGTCGGCTGGCCCAGGCCGGGGGGGGTCTATTATCTATACTAGTGTGTATATATACACACACATACATACATACATACATACATACATACATACTTACATACATACATACATACATACATACATACGTACGTACGTACGTACGTACGTACGTACATACATACATACATACATACACATACACATACACATACACATACACATACACATACACATACACATACACATACACCTACACCTACACCTACACCTACACCTACACCTACACCTACACCTACACCTACGCATACACATACACATACACATACACATACACATACACATGCACATACACATACACATCTACATCTATAGCTACATCTACATCTACATCTACATATACATATACATATACATATACATATACATAAACATATACCTATACATATACATATACTTATATATATACACATATATATATATACTAGAACCATCGCGTGCGCTTCGCGCGCGCTCAGGTTCTAGCCCAGGCCGGGGGGGCGCTGGACGATCTTGGACAACGTTATCAAGCACAGGCGCGCGACGGCATCTGAGGAGCGTCTGGGGTGTTCCGCATGCTTCGTCAACTGGCTGGTGGAGGCACCTCTTGGGTGCCTCTTGGGGGGGGCGTCTGAGGGTCCCTTGGGGGCATCGGTTCTGCAATATGAAGCCGTCAGTGGCCGTCTTGGCTGCGTGGAGGCCCGACTTGAGGCCACCCGCGGCCAGATTGAAGCAATTCGGAAGCCTCCCGGGGGCATCCTAAAAGCAGTTTTGACACATCGAGTGCACTTTTGGGCAATTTTCAAACCTCGTGGACGTCTCCTAGGGGCCTTTTGGGCCCTCGGGAAGCTTTTGGGGTCCTCTTGCGGCCTCCTGTGAGCCTTTTGGGGGGAACGCTCTGCTGTTGGGTCGCGTTCCCCTTCTTGGGCCTCTCTTGGGGCTCTTGGGGCCCTCTCGGGCCGTCTTGGGCGCCTCAAGCACCGTCTTGGGGCCCTCGCGGGCCGTTGGGGCCCTCTTGGAGGCCTCTTCCTCTATATTGGAGCGGTATTGGAAGCCTCTTAGGCCGTCTTGGAGCATCGGGATGCCAAAAGGCCGAAAAAATTAAAACCAGTCAAAGTCCAATCGTAAAACAATGAGTTGTGCCTCTTGGGGCCACCGTGGGAGATCTCTTGGAACCTCGTCGGCCCTCTTGGGAGCTTCTTGGGGGCCTCTTGGATCTGATTGGGGGCCTCTTGGGACTTCCCGAGAACCTCTCGGGGTAGAAAGCTCGGATTCTCAGTTCGTGTTTCCCTTCTTGGGCCTCTCTTGGGGCCGTCTTGGGGCCCTCTCGGGCCTTCTTGGGCGCCTCAGGCACCACTTTGGGACCCTCGTGGGCCGCCCAGGGCCCTCTTGGAAGCCTCTTCGGCTATCTTGGAGCTGTCTTGGAGGCCTCTTCCTCCTCCTCCTCGTCCCCCTCCTCCTCCTCCTCCTCCCACTCCACCTCTCTCTCCTGCTGATCTTCCTCCTCCTCCTCCTGCAGCGTGTTCCGGAAGGCTCCCGCCGGAACATGATGTGCACAAGTACTGTCACTGCTCCCGCCACAGTGCCCTGGGTGGTGGGTCAGAGGCCTCATGGGTGTTGGTTTGGATCTCGTGGTTGGCCTGTCGGGGACGTCGTGAAGGCAGTTTCGCAGCTTCTTGGCAGCGGTTTTGGGATCGTTGTAGGGCCTCCTCGGGGCTGTTTTGTGGCCTCTTTAGGCCTCGTTTGGGTCTCCTGGGTGCCTCTTGGGGGCCTCCTGGGGCCTCTTGGGGGCTCCTTAGGGCCTCCTGGGGCACTCTTCACGCGGGAGGGTCGAATTTTGGAGTCGTGGTCCCCCTTTTGGGCGCATCCTGGGGCTGTCTTGGGGCTCTGTTGGGCTGTCTTGGGCGACTCTGGGACCGTCTTGGGGCCCTCTTGGGTCGTCTTGGGGCGCTCTTAGGGGCCTATTGAGCCGTCTTGGAACGTCGGACAGCCGAAAAGGCTGGCAGGCCAAAATCGTTCGAAAACCTTCGTAAAATTAACGATTTCGGCCTCTTGAAGCGCTGTGGAGAGGCGTCTTGAAGCGTCGTGGAGTGCCTTGGGGGGCCTCTCGGGCCGTCTTGGGCCTACCTTGGGCGTCCTGGAGCGGTCTTTCGGCGACTCGGGGCCCGCTTGGGCCGTCTTGGGAGCCTCTGGAGGCCCTCCTGGACTATTTTGGACCTCCCCGGCCGCCCCGTCCTCCCACGGGGGGTCGGAGGCGGCGGCCTCCGAGGCCCAGGACGCGGAAACCCTGCAAAAACTGCCAAAGAGAGTTCGAAGAGGGCCCCAAGACGGCTCAAGTGGGTTCAGGCGTGACCTAGAGGCCCCAAAGACAGCCCAAGAAGGCTCCAGGACCGCTCCCAGAAAGGGCTCACAGGGGTACCCGATCTGACATTCCCAGCCTTCCTCCCCAAAGAGAGCCCTAGAAGACCCCAAGAAGGCCCCCCAAAGCATCCAGAATGCCCCAAGAGGCCCCCCATAGGCCCCCAAGAGGCCTCCAAGAGGCCCCCAGGAAGCCGAAGATGGTCCGCAGACAGTCCCCCCAACCGCCCAAGACGGCCCAAGAGGCATCCAAGAGGACTCCCAAGAGGGCCCGCAGAAGCAAAAAAGGCCCCATTCCCTTCGGAAAACGTCAATTTATACGCAGCACCCCGCAATTGCGGATAAGAGTGAGGGGGCGGGCGCGGGCGACGCGGGCGTCGTCGAGCCGGCGGACCTCGTGGACCCCACCTTCCCTGTCGATGGCGCTGTCCTCCTCCTCCTCCTCCTCCTCCTCCTCCTCCTCCTCCTCCTCCTCCTCCTCCTCCTCCTCCTCCTCCTCCTCCTCCTCCTCCTCCTCCTCCTCATCGTCATCGTCATCCTCCTCCTCCACCTCGTCCTCCTCCTCCTCCTCCTCTTCTTCCTCGTCCTCCCTCTCCCCCCCCTCGTCCTTTCATCATCGTCCTCCCATTGTCGTCCTCCCCCTCATCGGCCTCCATCATCGTCCTCCCATTGACGTCCATCATCATCATCATCATCATCATCATCATCATCATCATCATCATCATCATCATATCATCATCATCATCATCACCATCATCATCATCATCATCATCATCATCATCATCATCATCATCATCATCATCATCATCATCATCATATCCTCATCCTCATCCTCATCCTCATCCTCATCCTCATCCTCATCATCATCATCATCAGCATCAGCATCATCAGCATCAGCATCAGCATCATCATCATCATCATCATCATCATCATCATCATCATTATCATCATCATCATCATCATCATCATCCCCCTCCTCCCCCTCCTCGTCCTCCTCCTCCCCCTCCTCCCCCTCCTCGTCCTCCTGCTCCTCCTCCTATTCTTTCTCCACAGTATCCTTACATCGTCTCTTCTTCCGCGTTCTCCTCGTCCCCTGTTTACTCCTCCTGCCTCCCCCTCCTTTCCCAAGATAACTGCAACGCAATCCTTTTTTCCACTTTATGATCCCCGCCTTCTTTGATTAAGGCAACTCGCCAGGGCAGAGTTGCTGGACGGGCTGGTGTGGATGCGCGGGGCTTGAAGAGGTCCTTGCGGGCTCAGGCGGCATGCAAAAATCCGCCGCCGCGTTTGTGCGGCATTGGTTTGTTCAGTGAACGTGGTTTAGGTCGCGGGTGGGCCGCGGGCTCTCCACCTCCACCTGGAAGGAATGCAAAAGCAGCTCGCCGCAGGCGCCAAAACAATGATTTGTACACTGAACGTGGTTTGGGTCGCGGGTGGGCCGCGGGTTCTCCACTGGGAGCGAATGCAAAAGATGCCCGCCGCAGGCGCCGAAAAATGTGGTTTGTACCCTGAACGTGGTCGCGGGTGGGCCGCGGGCTCTCCACCTGAAACGAATGCAAAAGATGCCCGCCGCAGCCGCCGAAAAACGTGGTTTGTACCCTCAACGTGGTTTGGGTCGCGGGTTGGTCGCGAGTTGGTCACGGGGTGGGTCGCGGGCTCTCAACTTGGAATGATCGTTTTCCAAACTTAGTTGATCGCGTCTCGGGGTGGTGTGGTGGGGGTGGGCCGTGTAAGATAGTAGTGCGGGTTATATCCCTCGTCCTGCCCTGCTTGCCTTTCGTGTCCGCTCAAGCTTTTTCTGGCTCGAGGTCGTTCGAGCCAGGAGCGCGCGCTCGCCCCTCTGCCCCACCAGCGTGGGTGCTCGCGGCGCGGGCGCTGATCGTCGGCACCACAGCGAGGCGGTGGTGGCTCGCCAGTGCTGCCTTGCTCTCGTACATCGGGGCCTGGGGAGTCCTCGACTCTATCCTCTCGAAGCCGCTCGTGGAGCCCGAGGACGACGCGCCCCTGAGGTTCACGAGAGAGTCCGAGCGGCTCAGCTTCTACGACTATCTGCGGGTGCACATGTCCAGCGTGACACGATGGAGCCGCTTCTATCGGACGACTGGCCCCCAGCGGGGGCAGGCGGCCCCCCTGGTGATGCGAATGTACCCCAAGATGAAGAACGACACAAGGTGGATCTACGTGAAGCCGGACCGCGCGCTCGGCGTGGGCGACATCAAGGATCGGGCGAAGATGTCGAGTCGTCGACAGACAGGCTGGGACTACGAGGCGTTCCCGACCCTCACACCCAACGAGAAGACGGACATCCTGGAGAAGGCCAAGGAGAAGCAGCTCGATGCCGAGCTGTATCTGTCCAACATCCGCGGCTACGTTGCCTCATTGTCCTGGTTTCGCTCTGGTCTGGTTGGCGTATGGAGCACATGGAACTGGGGGTCGACGGTGGGCGCTGCCTTCTTTTTCTGGAGGGTGGCGGTCTACTGCAACCTATGGCAGCGGATGCGCTGGTCAGTGGAGAAGCTCGAGCATGGCCACAACATGATACTCGAGATCGACGACATCCGAGGATATCTGCACGACCTGTACCAAGACGGCAAGCTCGAGATTCCCATCATGATCTTCACCGCTGTGGTGGCTCTCGGGCCAAGTCTCCTGCGTTGCTGCAGGCAGCGCCCCTCTCCTTTGCTCGCGGGGGCCTCGCCTCCAGTGAGCGACGTGGACAGCGACAGGGAAGCGGGCCACTCGGTGGCGGGGTCGTCGGACGAGTCCGAGCCAGCCAAGGACATGCAGGAGATGAAGGTCATGATGAGCAACTTGCTCGACGAGATCACCAAATCGAGGTCGGAGTCACCACGTGCCCCCACGAGTCGGAGTGCCTCGTCGGCCGCGCCCCCTGGAGGGAGCAGTCACGCCAGCTGGGAGAGAGTCCCCAGTGTCAACACGGACCCCAGCATGGACATGCATGTGGACAGGATGATCGACCGGCTGAAGCGCTTCGAGGACACGATCAATGCGGACAAGGCCTCTCATGGATGCAAGCCCTTGCAGGACGCTTCGTCCACGTCGGCCACGGCGGGATCAACGACGTGCCCTACCATCGACCTGGGGACGAAGGAGACGCTGGAGGGCGCGGGGGTGAGCCTCGAGCCCTTGAGGGAGGCACTCCGGGACCCCAGGGAGCGGTTGCTGGCCAACCTCTCGAAGATCGATGCGCCGCCCACCTTCACCCTCCCAGCGGGCCTCACCTCCCGCGTGGCGCCCGAGCTGCTGGTCCAGACCTACGGGAAGTACGGCAGCATGGTGAAGTTCGCGACGGACTGGGTTCGCCTCAAGGAGTTGAATCGCAACCACATCGGCCACGAGATGATGCTGCACTGCATGACGCTGGACCGGATGCTGGAGGCCTCGCCCGAGTTCATCCAGACGGCGGGCTGCGAGATCTTATGCGCACGAGCTTATGCTTTGAAGCGGGCGTTCAAGGACGTGGCATGCATCAACGACTGGAAGCAGCCCCGGGGCAGCGGGGCCAACAAGTGGAAGTCCAAGGTGCGCTGGGACCTCGCGAACGAGCTGGACTGGAGGTCCCTCGCGGAGGGCGAGGAGGCGCTCCCAGGCGTGGAGCGCGACTTGACGGCCAGGCTGCAGCAGAAGGCTCTCTTCCAGAAGTATATGCAGAAGGGGGGCTCGGACACAGTGAAGGAGGAGGACGAGTAGACGTTGGAGAAACTCCCCCTGTCTGTGGTGCCTCGCGGGGCCCCCCGCGCTTGAGGGAGGGGCTGGCGGTTTACCGTTCCGTTCGCCCTGACGACGGCCACTCTGGTGGGCTTACTCTCCCGATAGTTACGGTGACGCCCCTGCTTGTCGCGACGATCTGTTCGCGTGGTTCTGCGCCCCTCGGGAGGCGACGCCATGCCCGCTTTTCTCCATCCACACACTTCTCCATCGTCTACCTCGACGGCGGCCACAGGCGCGCCTCCCGAAGCCGTTCCTCGAGACCGAGACCTTTTGACGGATTTGCCGCTGCTACCGTGGTCGGTGGTGGTGGACCGCGCGGGGCCGATGCATCAAGGCACACTGAGACATGTGCGAGCTCTTGCCAACGGGTTGATCCGCTCCATGCACCACCTCTCGCGGGGCACGGTCGGAGCGGCCGAGGGTGCTGGGCCGTCGGCCGCGTGGGAGCGGGCAACACCGCTCCAGAGGGCTACTTCGAGGAGGTTACTGGAGGCGTGGCTAGCTTGGGGCAGCCAGGTGGCCGCGATCAAGGAAGACGAGGACGCCGCCCTTCGGCACGTCATGGCCGGTCGGGCCTCGCCATACTCAGGCGACGGGGCTACGGTTGCCCTGGGAAAGGATTCACAGGGAAGGGAGATGCTACCAAAGGGCGCGATGTGCTCCGTCGACGCGGAGGAACTGGCTCTTCCGCCGCCAGGGACCACCCCTGCCAAGCTCGTGGACATCTGCCCGCTGGCCGCCGAGTACTTCTCCGACGTTGCGGGGAGGATGCTACGCGAGCCCAGCAAGGCCATGGACGAGGAGCTGAAGGCCCAGAAGGTCTACCGAGATCCGTCTCTTCGATCGAGGGCGCCGCGTCTCCGCCTAGCCGAGAGGCTTTGGGATGCGGGGATGCTCGGGACCACCGACGAGCTGGTCGAGGGGGTCTCGCTTTTCGGAGTCATCAAGAAGTACCGGCAGGAGGAGGGGGACCCCCTCAGCCCCGCCAGGCGCCAGGTGCGCGCCATCTGGGACCAGAGGCGGGCCAACCTTCGCTGGCAGAGGCCCCCGTACGTGCCCCTCGGCAGCCCCGCGACCTTTGCCCACGTGGACCTCTCCAACCTGGGCGAGAGGGACGTGGTCTACACTGGCGTGGGCGACATCCCGGACATGTTCTATCGTTTGGAGACGCCGCCCGATGTCTGGCCCTACTTTGTCTTGGAGGAGGTGCCAGTCCACGAGTTCGTCGAACACACGAGGACCAAGGGGCGGGACTGCGTCATCCCCGATGGCGGGCCCTTCCTGGCGCTGAAGGCCCTAGTCCTGGGCTGGTCGTGGGCCCCGTTCTTGGCCCACTCTACGCTGCAGGCCTGCATGGCGCGCGGGCTCGGGGAGGACTCCGTCGGCGCGCGTCTGGTCTATGGGGCTCCGACGCCTCAACTGACCGGGCCCGGGGGGTTCGAGTCGGCGAACTGGGCGTTCATGGACGACTACGGGGTCATGGCCACGTCCGCCAGCGCGCAGCAGCCGGTGAGCGAGGTCGTGAGCGGACTGACGGCCCGAGTCAAGCACTACTTGAGGCAGGTCGGGCTCCCCGTCCACAAGGAGACCGAAGGCGAGGGGCTCGAGTCGCTGGGGGCGGTCATCGAGGCCGACCCTACTCCGTCTCAGCCGAGACCGACCGCACCTGCGGCCTGGCTCTGGTGACGCTGCGGCTGGTAGAGCGGACGTACTGGACCGCGGAGCTCCTCGAGCGCGTCGTGGGGTTGTGGGCGTGGGCGGCCATCTTCCAGCGCACGGGCCTCGCCATCTTCGACCAGGTGCACCACGAGATGAGACGTCCCGAGACCGCCAAGACGCCGCTCCGACTGACGCACGCGGCGAGGTGGGAGCTGACTACGATGGCATACTGCGCACCCCTCTTACGTACAGATCTCGAAGCTCCGTGGCTCTCGCAGGTGTTCATGACGGACTCCAGCGACACGGGCTATGGAGTGGCGGTCGCCGACGCCTCGCTGGAGGAGATCAGGAAGGACGCTCGTTACAGCGAGATGAGGGGATGGACGATCGCCACCGAGGATATTTACACAGCCCAGGAGGAGGACGCCTGGGTACCCCACGCTGGGGGGTGTGCCTACGACGTCGACGAGCTTATCGAGGCATCGACTGCACCGCCGCCGCGGGTAAGTCGGAGGGTCTACCGGGTGCTGCACCTCTTCGCGGGCAGGCGCCAGGAGGGGGATCTAGAGGAGGCCATCCACTCGCGGGCGGAGCGCGACGGCTACGAGGTCGAGGTCTGGTCCATCGACGCGGTGATCAACCCGAAGCACGACCTCACCAACGACGAGTTCGTCAGCCTGATCCTTAGCCTGGCGCGCGACGGGTACTTCCACGCAGTGATCGCCTCGCCCCCATGTTCAACTTGGAGTCGGGCTCGCTTCCTGGGGAAGGGGCCCAGGCCCTCACGGACACGCATCGAGCCTTGGGGGCGGAGCGACATGTCATTCACAGCCTTCGAGCGCCTCCGCCTGGACCTAGGGTCGCGCCTTTTGCTGTCGGCCATGCAGGCGGTCCGCGAGGTATGTCGAGCTGGAGGCCTAGGCTTGATGGAGCACTCTGCGGACCCAGAGGAGGACCCATACCCGTCAATCTGGAACCTACCCGAGATGGCATGCCTCCTCGAGGAGACGAGCGGGAGGATCAATCGGATCGACCAGTGCCGCTACGGAGCCCCGTCGATGAAGCCGACCATGATTGGCATCTTCGGGTTCTACGACGACGCACTGGACCTCGCCGCGGACCGTCTCCGCTTGAGGTGCAACCACCGAGGGAGGCATCAGGCAGTACTCAAGGGACGGGTGGAGCGAGGCCGTCCCGATTTCTGCACCGCTTCCGCCCAGGCGCACCAGCCGCCGCTATGCGCCGCGCTAGCGGAGGTGATCATCGAGGCGTTCGCCCGCATGACGAAGGAGATGAGGGGCCCCGATCCGACGGGCCCGCGTGCGTCTCCATCCACTTCGTCCTTCGGCCCACCGAGGCCGGGAAGGGCGAGGATCGAAGTGAGGCGGGGCGATCGAGTCAGAGTCCCCCCGCTGTCCCCCGCCTGGATGCCGATCGCGAGACGGCGGCCACTCTACTTCGGGAGGTGGAGGATCACGGAGCACACGAACATCAACGAGACGCGGGCCGTGGTGGGCCTGCTGCGACACCTGGCCAGATCATCACGGATGTGGAGGCGGAAGGTCCTGATCCCCACAGACAGCACGGTGGCTCTGGGGGCCCTGGGCAAGGGCCGCTCGAGTTCACCAGCCCTGCTGCGCTTGTACCGCCAGGCGGCGGCGATCACCATGAGCTTCGCGATTCATGGGTACTACCGCTACGTCCCGTCGGAGCTGGAAGTCGCCGACGGCCTCTCTCGGGGGGGCTTCCTCGGCGCGGCGCCCGAGACGGTAGCAGCTCACAGCGACCGACACCCCGCTCCAACGGACAGCCGAGGTCACGATCTACGCGACCTGGGCCGCGCATGTACGGGATACGCTGGTGGGTAGCCGCCATGGTATTGGAGGCAGTCCACCCTGTTGGAGCGGTTCGCCCGAAGCCACCCAGGGCGGGGGACATCCCCCTGCAGTAGCGAGGGCCACGGGCGTGGGAGAACTACGAGAAGGAGCCGCACCTGGGCATCAGCGAGGGCGGCTTCACAAGGCTGCTTACCCACTCCGTGGCGGACGCCACTGCGGCGCAGTGGGCCCCGAAGGTTCGAGACTTTCTTAGCCACTGTGTCGACAAGGGTTGGGAGCTGCGGCCCGCGAACGCCGTGGGCCACGCCCTGGCCGACTACATGGACATGAAGTGCTACAAGGCCCGGCTCCGTCCTACGTGGGGGTCGATCGTCTTGTTCGGGCTGCTGGTGATTTGGCCTGAGCTGAGGAACCAGCTTCCCCTGGCCTTGCGAAGCCTGAAGAGCTGGCAGAGGCTGGTTATCTCTGTGGAAGGGGGTCCTCTGCCTGAGGAAGCTGTCTTCGCCATCGCCATCTACTTATTCGAGGCGGGGCTCCTGGATGAAGCCATCTGGACCCTCGTGCAGCACGACGTCTACGGGCGGGAGCAGGACATGGAGATGCCACGCGAGGCCGACATCATTTGGGATGGCCGATGCGCGGGCCTCCTGTTTGGCATCTCGGCCCGAGGCGAGGAGGGCAAGACGGGCAGGGCAGCAATCAAGGGGCCGTCATCCGCCGCGGCACGGTCGCGAGCCTCATCCTGGCCCTGAAGGACGTCAAGAAGAATGCCACGGGGCCCATCTTCGGCCCCAAGCAGGCAGGCTTCGGCAAAGAGTGGCACCGCGCCTGTCGCTCGCTTGGGATGCCCTGGGCGCCGCCTCCGCACGGGCTCCGCCACTCGGGGCCCAGCGAGGACGTGGCCCGAGGACGGGCCAGCCTAGTGCAGGTGCGGAGGCGGGGCAGGTGGAAGGCGTTGTCCAGCGTCCAACGGTACTCCAAGACGTTCGCCCTCACGCAGTTCCGTGCAAAAATGCAGAAGAAGGTGCTGGACGTGGGCTCCCGTGCGACCTCAGACCTAGCTGCCGAGATACTCCGTGCGATAGAGTCCCGCACCAACTACAGCAAGCAGCAGCAGCAGCAGCTGGTCGACGGCATCAGGACGAATCTGAAGACGAAGAAGGTGAAAGATGTCGCCGCAGAGCTCTTGATGCTGGGACCCACCACAAAGCAGAAGCAGAAGACCACCACCAACAAGAAGTCCACCAAGGGTGACACAAGCTGCCCAGAGTCCGACGACCTCTACTCCGACGAGACGTGGGGAGAGGGAACTGGATGGTGGACAGAGTGAGGCGACAGGCCAAGTGGGGGCGCCCCATGTGGGCGGCTAGGGGCGCCATACGAGGGCCCCCTAGAGGTGGTGGCCTACGGGCGCGACCACCACCCCACGGTGAGCTTGGCCGTTCGCATGGATATCTTCGTTGTGGCCCCCGCCCGCCCGCCCTGGCCACAACATGTAGTTTTTTTTTTTTTCGGCTACGCCAGGCACATCAAATGCGGGAGTGGGACTGAGAATCTTCTGATGCCGATCGCAACTCGAGTTTTGTTGGTTGTGATTTGGTTGAGGTTATATGGATCTCAATCGGCCTCCCGTTGAATGATTCTATATATCTTTGGCCCGTCTGGGCCCTCGTGCAGTGTGTGGTTGAAGCAGTACTTCTTCATAGGCCGCTTCGCGGCGTTGCTGCACGTCCCGCTGTCAGATACTGCGTTTCCTGTCAGCTTCGCTGGCCCCCCGCCTGCCCCCTGAGACGTAGCGATAATGATCGTTTTCCAAACTTAATTGATCGCGTCTCGGGGTGGTGTGGTGGGGGTGGGCCGTGTAAGATAGTAGTGCAGGTTATATCCCTCGTCCTGCCCTGCTTGTCTTTCGTGTCCGCTCAAGCTTCCCTCCCTGTTTGAACGCTTTGCCCGGCCCTGCTCTCACGACACGTGGGACTGAGAATCTTCTGATGCCGATCGCAACTCGAGTTTTTGTTGGTTGTGATTTGGTTGAGGTTATATGGATCTCAATCGGCCTCCCGTTGAATGATTCTATATATATATATGTATATATATATATATATGTGTGGCCCGTCTGGGCCCTCGTGCAGTGTGTGGTTGAAACAGTACTTCTTCATATGGCCGCTTCGCGGCGTTGCTGCACGTCCCGCTGTCAGATACTGTGTATCCTGTCAGCTTCGCTGGCCCCCCCGCCTGCCCCCTGAGACGTAGCGATAAGGAATGCAAAAAAAGCCCGCCGCAGGCGCCGAAAATGGCGGTTTGTACTTTGAACGTGGTATGGGGCCGCGGGTGGGTCGCGGGTGGGTCGCGGGTGGGTCGCGGGTGGGTCGCGGGTGGGTCGCGGGGTGGGTCGCGGGGTGGGTCGCGGGCGGGTCGCGGGGTGGGTCGCGGGGTGGGTCGCGGGGTGGGTCGCGGGGTGGGTCGCGGGTGTGGTCGCGGGTGGGTCGCGGTGTGGGTGGGTCGCGGGGTGGGTCGCGGGGTGGGTCGCGGGGCGGGTCGCGGGGGGTCGCGGGGCGGGTTTGGCGGGTGGGACGACGACAACAAACACAACAAAACAACAACAAACAACAACAACAACAACAACAACAACACCTTTACCCGAACGCTCAGTGTTCTCACCAGTGCCAGGGTTTTCATGCGACGCCAGCCAATACCCCCACTTTGTGGGGGGGCAGTGCAAGCTCTACCAAATATCCACACGACTCTTCGCCACCACCCACACCCAGCTTCCCGCCCTATGACGTTCGGACACTTCACTTCGTGGCCTGCGGACGACCGTGGCTACTACACTGGCGTGGAGTACACACCCACAGAAGTTGTTAAGCCTACGTTCGTACACCCACAGAAGTTGTTAAGCCTTGTTAACCCACAGAAGTTGTTAAGCCTTCCACAGAACATCTGTTGGCGGGATGCATATGGTCATGAAGGCCATGATACACATGATACGTACAACAAGATAGGGGATCAAATCTTTAGGCGGCCGAGGGCGCAACCTATGGCGCAACCAATAGGGGGACGTTTTATTCTCGGCGGCCGAGGGCGCAACCTATGGCGCAACCGCAAGGGATTGTGGCCCCTGGCAGGCGCGCGAACCCCGTTGCAAGAGCGTGCGAAAGTAGCTCGCGCGAGCTCATGTAACATAAATGTTGGAAAACCATTGGTTTTTTTAGGATTCGGACAGCGCGCGCGGGTAGAAATTTTGAAAAGTCGTGCAGGTGTTTTCGAGGACCTACGGTGCGATTCGTGTGATTTTATGATGCGCGGTGCTAAAATTCTTAAGAAGCCCAATGGTTTTTGGAGATTTCGGCGTGCGCGCGCGAAGAAAAAACGAATGTGTCCCGCATGGTATTATTTGACAGGGATGATGGCCCTGGCAGGTGCGCAACCGTTGTCGCAGAAGTTCGAAAAAGTTGCTCGCAAAAGCCCGTTTGACAGAAATGTTTAAAAAGTGTTGGGTTTCCTACGAATCCGCAAGAGCGCGCGGGATGAGATTTTGACAATTTTTTTGTTGAAAAACCATTGGTTTTTTGATGTTTTTATGTTAAAATCGCTGCGAACACTAAGGTTTTGGACGGATTTCGTCTTGCGCGCGCGAATGTCCACTTTACCTTATTTTTTGCAAGGGATTCTTGAAATTTGATTATATTAGAACAAGAAATGTCATTTTCTATTGTTTTTTGCAAGGGAAAGCGGATTACAACAAAACAACCGGATCCTGTACACACCCTCTTTTCTGAGGCGTCCTCACGAAAATGATGAAAATGTAGCTGCGGCCTAGGCGGCGCAGGGGGGGCGCGCACCAGGGGGCCCAACAATAATTATTCTTTAGAATAAATAATGTTCAACAACAACAACACCAACAACAACAACACAACAACAACAACAATCACTTTACCCGAACGCTCAGTGTTCTCACCAGTGCCAGGGTTTTCATGCGACGCCAGCCAATACCCCACTTTGTGGGGGGGCAGTGCAAGCTCTACCAAATATCCACACGACTCTTCGCCACCACCCACACCCAGCTTCCCGCCCTATGACGTTCGGACACTTCACTTCGTGGCCTGCGGACGACCGTGGCTACTACACTGGCGCGTGGCTACTACACTGGCGGATTGTGGCCCCTGGCAGGCGCGCGAACGCCGTTGAAAGAGCTTGCGAAAGTAGCTCGCGCGAGCTCATGTAACATAAATGTTGAAAAACCATTGGTTTTTAAGGATTCGGACAGCGCGCGCGGGTAGAAATTTGAAAAATCCGTGCACGTGTTTTTCGAGGACCTACGGTGCGATTCGTGCGATTTTATGATACGCGGTGCTGAAATACTTAAGAAACCCAATGGTGTTTGAAGATTTCGGCGTGCGCGCGCGAAGAAAAAACGAATGTGTCCCATATGGTATTATTTGACAGGGATGATGGCCCTGGCATGCGCGCAACCGTTGTTGCAGAAGTTCGAAGCACGTGAAAAGTTGCTCGCAAGAGCCCGTTTGACAGAAATGTTGAAAAAAAAATTGGGTTTCCTCAGAAATCCGCAAGAGCGCGCGGGATGAATTTTTGAAACTTTTTTTTTGAAAAACCATTGGGTTTTTCATGTTTTTATGTTAAAATCGCTACGAAAACTAAGGTTTTGGAAGGATTTCGTCTTGCGCGCGCGAATGTCCACTTTACCTTATTTTTTGCAAGGGATTCTTGAAATGTGGTTATGTTAGAACAAGAAATGTCATTTTATATTGTTTTTTTGCAAGGGAAAGCGGATTACAACAAAACAACCGGATCCTGTACACACCCTCTTTTCTGAGGCTTCCTCACGAAAATGATGAAAATGTAGCTGCGGCCTAGGCGGCGCAGGGGGGGCGTGCACCAGGGGGCCCAACAATAATTATTCTTTAGAAGTAATAATATTCAACAACAACAACAACAACAACAACATCAACAACAACAACACAAACAACAACAACAACAACAACAACAACAACAACAACAACAACAACAACAACAACAACAACAACAACAACAACAACAACAACAACAACAATCATTTTACCCGAACGCGTGGTGTTCTCCCCAGTGCCAGGGTTTTCATACGACACCAGGCAATACCCCCACTTCGGGGGGGGGCATTACAAGCTCTACCAAATATCCAAACGACTCTTCGCGACCACCCAAACCCAGCTTCCCGCCCTATGACGTTGGGACACTTCACTTCGTGGCGTGCGGACGACCGTGGCTACTACACTGGCGTGGGTACACACCCACAGAACCCAATGGTTTTTGGAGATTTCGGCGTGCGCGCGCGAAGAAAAAACGAATGTGTCCCGCATGGTATTATTTGACAGGGATGATGGCCCTGGCAGGTGCGCAACCGTTGTCGCAGAAGTTCGAAAAAGTTGCTCGCAAAAGCCCGTTTGACAGAAATGTTTTAAAAAGTGTTGGGTTTCCTACGAATCCGCAAGAGCGCGCGGGATGAGATTTTGAATTTTTTTTGTTGAAAAACCATTAGTTTTTTGATGTTTTTATGTTGAAATCGCTCCGAACACTAAGCTTTTGGAAGGATTTCGTCTTGCGCGCGCGAATGTCCACTTTACCTTATTTTTTGCAAGGGATTCTTGACATTTGATTATATTTGAACAAGAAATTTCATTTTATAGTGTTTTTTGCAAGGGAAAGCGGATTACAACAAAACAACCGGATCTTGATCAACTCGAATTACCTGAGGCTTCCTCACGAAAATGATGAAAACGTGGCTGCGGCCTAGGCGCGGCGGGGGGGGCGCGCACCAGGGGGCCCAACAATAATTATTCTATAGAATTAATAATGTTCACCAACATAATTACTAGCACGTGGGGGGGTCAACGGGGAACCACCAGTCTCTCACCAGTGCCAGGTTTTCATAGGAGGCGGGCAATACCCCCACTTTGTGGGGGGGCCGGTTCAAGCTCTACCAAATTTCCCAACGACTCTTCGCCACCACCCACACCCAGCTTCCCGCCCTATGACGTTCGGACACTTTCACTTCGTGGCATGCGGACGACCGTGGCTACTATTCAGGGCCCCGCGGCCGACGACGACGGCGTGCGCGCGCGAAGAAAAACCGAATGTGTCCCGCATGGTATTATTTGACAGGGATGATGGCCCTGGCAGGTGCGCAACCGTTGTTGCAGAAGTTCGAAAAAGTTGCTCGGAAAAGCCCATTTGACAGAAATGTTAAAAAAGTGTTGGGTTTCCGACAAATCCGCAAGAGCGCGCGGGATGAAATGTTGACACTTTGTTTTTGAAAAACCATTGGTTTTTTTA